TGCCTGGGTGCAAGTAATGCTTGCGCACATGGGCCTGGCAATACACCTCTGCTACCAGGCAGCATACACTTTCCATGGGGGTGAGCAGTCATATTCTGCAACATGGGCAAACACCTACATCAGGGCAACAGACTGCTTCCCCTTCATGCCGAACTTACTGGAAACAAACATCCACCTCATTCCATTGTACCTGCCTGCTCCCATACGAGTGGAAAACATATTCAGAACACACAATGTAGGAGATTGGGGCCCGACCTCAGTTGCCCAAGGTGTTGGTACGCATCCAGCTGAGCTGGGTAGCACGATGCCAATACCTTTTGGAATGAACTGGAGGAGGTTGCCTTCTGGCAACATGGCCGCAAACAGCAACCAAGGAATTGCACATTACATTGCACGTCTGGTCAGACCTGGCTTTGCCGACTGGCCAATGCAGTTTGGAGCTGCATTCCCTAACATTGGGCGCAGGGTACAGCGGGCCATGGAATACCTGAAGACGGAGCTCGTTCAATGTAAGGCCTTCTCACTGTCACCTAACTCAGCATCAATGCATTTCAAGGAGGCAGTTCTGCATGGCGCGAAGACGTCTGAGGAGAAGGAACACTCAACGTTGGCAACAATCATGAGAACATTCACAGCAGGAGTCCAGCCGCTACTTGCCCAGTTCAATGCTTACTTCGGAGGAAGTGACATTGAGACAAACCCAAAGAGAACTGGGGTCACCGAGGAGATAGGGGCAAAGGGTGCAACAAACATTGGTGAGCCACAGGGTCCTGCGCAGGTACCCGAGCTTGATTCAGCTACAGCATCAAAGATTGAGGCACTGGAGTCACAACTGCGACTCCTTATGGCAGCCCAGCTGCCTGCCCCTGACAACACAACAGGGGCTGGCAATCCAGGGGTACCACCAGAACCGGCCGGACAGGGTGGCTCGCCGAGACCTCATTTAAACTAGAAAGGGCCTTACAGTGCGAAGGGAATCGCCTTGCATACCTTGAAGAGGTAGGTGGGGCGCAACTTGGGTATGATCGGGCTGGCTACGCTCGAGTCGACCTACCTTTGCAGATGGACATTGTTCGTGGCAGGCGAGTCCCGCCACTGTGGATGCGCCGTAAGCCCAGAACAGATGTGGGGCCCATACGGCTGACAAAACTACAGTATGAGTTTTTGAAGTTGCACAGCTCAGCCCATCAATTTGATGTCGCTACAACAGATTTTTGGGTGACATTGTCGTTTGGAACCAAGCCGGGGTGGTTACAAAGGCAATTGTTAGAGCGAAATCCGAAATTGTTTTGGGCAGAGCGCTCAGCCATTTTGGCCAAACGCCCATCAGTGCCTTTGAAAAGAAGAATGTGCAATGTGGTCTATAATGGTGAAATTTCAATTGCACTGAGATGTGCAGTCACTAAGCGTTTCAAACACAGTCAAAGTTTGCTGTGCAGTGGTATCCGACCGTAGTACATGGCCTTAACTTGTGTTGTAGCTGTTTTTCGGCTGTTGGATACTGCGCTAAGAACGTACTGTGGTATGGCTTGCCGCCTAGTGGGGCAGGCTGTTCCTTTCTCCTGAGCAATTTGAAGCGGCGCATCCCGATCCTGTCCTGGGTGGCACTGCCTTGATGTTGTTGCGCTGTGTGATGCATGTGAGGATTGGGAAAACCGCCTGTAGCACCGACACCCACCAAAGACCTCGTCTGGCTTGTTCCGAGTTGCGAGAGCGTAAAGTCCGAAAGCCTAAAAGTCCTAAACCCCTAAATCCCTAAGCCATAAACCCCTAAACCCCCATACCCTAGACCCAGAACTACACCCCATTCTGAAGACATCCCCGATGATCTGCAGGACCGCGCTTGCAGAGCTGCTCCGCAGTTGAGAAGCAGGCTTCCAAAACAGCTTCCGGCCTTAACAGAAGTAGCGGCCATAGTGAATCTAATGAGCAAAACGAGAAAAATGGTACTAACAACTAATAGGATTCTAAGAATACTGGGTAAAATGGCCAGAGTGACTGCAAAACGAGAAAAATGGTAATAACAATAATAATGGAATTATTAAGAATAATGGGTAAACATGCAATACTGAGAGACATGACAGTACTGAGAATAATGGCAAGAATAGCAACAAAGGACCAAGGATACTGTTTGACATGCATGACAAGAATGTCGAGAAGCACAGCAACAAGTTTCAGAGAATCTGGATCCCAAATATAGGCGCTAGCCCCTAACTATCAGGACCCTGAAATACGGTGCCCCTGATTCAGCAAAAGCCTCATGGCCTCCTCAACTTTCGGGCCTTGCCTTGCGGCCCAAGACCTCTGCCATATCCCAAAAGCCCCCATGGCCCCTCAGCCCTACGCCCTAAACCTCTAAACCCCTACACCCTAAACCCAATCCTAAACCCCAAACCGGACCCCGGAGCCCATAGCCAAAGGGTTGTGCTTTGACGCTTGCAGCGTAGGAGGCCGGAATTCGTGCACAAAGGCACGCTTGCAGGTGGAACCTTGCGGCTTTGTACATAGGCGTCGGCGATGTGAGAAGCAGACTACGACTTCCCCTCAATCCCGGACTCCTGCCACCCTAAAGAACCCCAAAAGGCTTGAAACTTGAATGCTAAGCCATGAGCCCTAAAGCAGCCTTCATTGGAATACAGCTCCTCCGTCATTAGTAATATAGGGGTGGGAGTACTTGCCAAGATGATTTTTCAATTCGCTTAGAATACGTATACTATAATATGTCCCAAAACTCTGTTTAGTTGTTAGACTCGCGTTTTGTCGTGTGAGTACAGTACGGTTATACAGGGATGCCGGCCTCCCACTTGCACTTCTCTTCCCTGCTACTTGCAGGGTCGGGGGACTTAGTAACTGGTTATTTTAGGGACTTTTAAGTACCAAAACCCCAAGTAGGGTCTCTTTTAGGGTACTTATAAGTCTACTTACTACCTACTTACTAAGTCCCCAAGTACACCCGAATTCCAAGAGCCTAGGCCCAGCAGTTGACCCAACACAGAACCCTGAGCACCTGCATCCCAGAATATGCGGTTTAGGGTTTAGGGTTTATAATACACTATAACAGACCTTACTGTACGTTTATATGCTATGTTCTACTGTGATCTATGATCTGGTGCACCTTCCAGAGTCCTGAGCTCAAAATATCACAGCTTATTCCATAGGCTTGGACCTAGCACTTAATGTCTAGCGTCTCAACACTTGAGCAGCGTGCGGCAAGCGATCTTGCAATGCTAAAGCTTGTTAATAAAGTTAGTTGCTGAAAAGCCTTGAAGCCGAAAGCCTAAGCTCGAGGTTAATTCGTGCAGTCCCTTTTTTTCGGTTTGCCGAGCGCCAAAATCCTTCGCAGTGACGGTTGGTCCCGTTGGTGAGACTAGGTGTTCAGGGTTTCGGATTGATCTATGTAGACCCCTGATCAGTTTTTAGGCCCCACTTTTTCGGATCCCTAGTCTGTTCCCTACTAAGGGAAAGGCTTTTTTTCGCGAGATTGGGAGTGAATTTTTTCGAGGTTTAGCGAAAAGGGTTGCAGGTTTAAAAGTTGGGGGGACTCCGGGGTTCTTTGGGGACTCCGGGGTTCAACGGGCTTGTGGCAGTTGAGGGTTTCAGCGTCGTTGAAAAAGGGAGCCCTAAACCTCAATTCCTGAACCCTATACCCTAATTTTTTTTGGCGGGAATAGCTTCTGGGACGGCGAGTGCACTTTTGTGCTAAGTTTGCTGCTGCTTCAGGTGTAAGCTTTGGGCGCAGGAGAAGGGGCACGCAAGAGGAAGCGGCTCGAGTTTCGGGTCGTTTCTTACCTTTGGTTAGTAGGGAATGGAGGAATGGGGTACCAAAATAACTACTATTACGACCATTCTTCGATTCCTTACTAACCAAAGGTAAGGTTTGGGTTGAGGTTAGTCTCACCTCAACTTAAAGGCTTTCTCTGGTCCGTGAAAAATACCTGGACTCCAAGCCAAAGCCTTGCATTTCGAAACCTGAACTCGAAGAGAACCTCATAAAGCCCTTGTAGGATGCCGCGAAGCCCTACAAACATACATAGCCCTCCTTCCGGCTTAGGGTTTAGGGGGTGGGGTTTAGGGTCTGGGGGGTGGCGGTGGTGGTGGTGGTGGTGATTGTGAATCTTATTGTGCTACCCGCGTGTTTGGTTCGGCAACATAGAAGCTGAATGCTGAGAAATACTTATCCTTCGGTCTTCCGGTTTTCCTTATAGTAGGACCTCTCCCAAATTCTATACGAATTGTAGGACATATCCCAAAACCCTAAAGGAATTACTGGGGCTCCTAGATTAGGGGTGACAGTCTGACATGGAGGGCTCCGTCCCTTCGCTCCGGCACCCTAAGCCCACAAAGTTTCTGTATGGGAGCTTCCGAAAACAGGGACCGCTGATACAGTACCCCAAATAGTGGGATCCTTATTATAAGGACCCCCAAATAAGGGGACCCCTGATTTCCGGAAACTCCCACATACAACTATTGAGGTTCGCGTCAAGGGTTTGGGGTTTTACGGCGTCCCACCGGCAGCTTGCTGTAGAAGGGTTCCAGTGTCACAGGAGGCCTAGGAAAGTCATCAACCTCTAAAGCCCTTAACTACCAAAGGGTCCTCAAACCCAGAGACGCAAGACCCACATCCTGATGCCTTAGACCCGACTAGACAATAAGCCTTCATAAACCATGAGGTTATAAACCCGAAAGCCCTGAGCCCTTTTTCCTAAACCCTAAGAGCCTAAGCCCTTTCAATTGTTGCCTGACTGTACCCTGCGATGTGGGCTTCGTCCTGGCTAAGTAGGAGGGAAAAAGGAGCCTAAACCTTCCTCCCGAACATCGCCGGGTATCCCCAGCATTCCCTGCAGTGCGACTCAGCCACCTATATATTCGGGTACGGAACGAACAGCAAGATATTGCTCTGAACTGATCAAGGCCACACAAAACCCTATTCTGATAGGTAAGACCCTGTTCTGATTCGTACCCCCCCTGTGTTCAGCACCTGTCCAGAGCAACACGGTGAGGTCGAAGACCTGGTGGATTCTGGAAAGATCCCTGAGGAGTCTGCCGAGAGGCACCGAAGCATCCGTTCAGGAGGTTGGGTTTAGTTACCGGTTTAGGGTTTAGGGTTAACAGAGGCCAGCCCACTGCAAAAGGGTCAAGGGAGAGGTTCAGGGTTTAGGAAACACGGGCCTCACAAACTACGGGTACATGGTTTTGGCATATTGTGCTTCAGTACTATTGGGAAACTGAAGTGATCGAGGGTTCGGTACAACGGGTTGAGCAAGGTCTTGAGAGGGGCTTGTTCTGGCTTTGTTTGGGCGATCCCTGGTACCCTTCAGCCTATGACGAAGCAAGCTGCATCCACAAACATCCGTTCCACCCTCGGTAAGTAACACTTCTAGTTTCACCAGGAAGCCCTTAAGCAAAGCCCGTCTTATTTCGCGCCCCACTGAAACAGCCTGAACAATGACTCTGCAAACGAGAAGGTCTACAGTCCTTCTTCGAGACGGCACAAAAGCGCAAACCTTAATCCCCAAATCCCAAACCCCAAAGCTTAAACCTAACCCTGAATCCTAGTCCTTAAAAAAACCCTAAACCCTTACCCCGAATGGCTTTAAGCCCTTCCAACAAGTACCGTTTTGTTGAAACCTAAACCCTGACCCCCCCCCCCACCACCGAAAAAAAGCCCTAAACCCTGAACCCTAAGTTCCGTTTTTTGAGAACACCCTGCAATGCGGGCTTCGTCCTTGCTCGGTAGGAGGGAAAAAGTTCCGTTTTTGCCTTAAAGCCTATCCGAGAGTGAGTGTCAAACCCTAAACCCGAAAGTTCCGGTTTTGCCCTAAACCCCTAACCCCAAAGTTCCGCTTTTGCCCTAAACCCTAAACCCTAAAGTTCCGTTTTTTGAGCTCAGCAGAACGCCCTTGGGAAGGTACGAGGCACTGTCCGGCGCAGACATGTCGGAGCTTCAGGAGACGCTGCTTTAGGGCTTACTTGGAGGTTCATGGCGGTGGTTGTCAATATTGGGGTCTTTTTTGGGTCCCTTATATACTACGGCACCCAATATTTAGGGATCCAAAAAGGGGCCACAATTTTGACAACTACCCATGGGTATATAGTTATAAGTGGGTTTAAGATTATAAGCATAGTTACCCTACCTGTAACCCTACTTATGTATGACTACCCATGAACCTCCAAGTAGGGTTTGTGGAATTAGAGAATTTGGGGCTACGGGTTTAGGGGATTCGGATTTGGAATTTAGGGTTCAGGGCTTAGGGTTTAGGGTTTATGGGTTTAGGGCTTAGGATTTAGGCTTTATGGGTTCAGGGCTTAGGGTTTAGTGTTGAGGGTTTGGGGTTTAGGGTTTGGGGCTTAGGGTTTAGGGTTGAGGGTTTGGGGCTCAGGGTTTGTGGGTTCAGGGTTGAGGGTTTGGGGCTTAGGGTTTATGGGTTTAGGATGTAGTGTTATGATGGGTTTATGGATTTTTGGCACAGGCTTTAGGGTTTATGGCTGTAGGGTTAGGTTAGGGATGGAGTCCGCTGCAGAAGGGTTTAGGGATTGAGCTTTTGGGGTTCATGGATTTATATGGGAGTTTCCGGAAATCAGGGGTCCCCTTATTTGGAGGTCCTTATAATAAGGATCCCACTATTTGGGGTACTATGTTAGGGTCCCCTATTTTCGGAAACTCCCATATGGGTGGTTGTCAAAATTAGGGTCCCTTTCTGGGCACCCTTAATAATAGGTGCCGTATTGTAATAGGGACCCAAAAAGGGACCCTAATTTTGACAACCGCCCATATGGGTTAGAGCATTTAGGGTTTCGGCAGACGTCGGCTTGTCTTAAAGAAGTTCCGGGTTTCTTTGCAGGGGTTTATAGGACCTCGACGCCGGTGGGTTTAGGGTTGGGCAGGGTTGTACGGGGCTCTGATTAGAGCACGGCTCTTCTCTGGTCTTCCAAAGCTTGCATTGCAGGGTTCGACGAATTTAACCCGTCCTAAGCCCTAGAACCCCAGATCCCGACACCTAAACCCAACACCCGTAAGCCACCCTAAGCCCTAAACCCAAACCCTCAACCCTAAACACTAAGCCCTAAACCCTCAACACCCGTGAGTCCTCATCCCGAAGCCCTAAACCTCGAATCCGAAGCCGAGTTCCGTGCCCCGAAATCGAGGCCCGGAGATTCGCAAGCTGGTAGCCGCAGAGGTTAAGAGTTAAGGGTTCATGGATCTGAGGTTTAGTGTTTAGGGGGTCTATGACAGTGCTTGGTAACGCTTTTTGCCCAAACTTGCTAGCAGTTGAGTACTTGGGTTTTGGAATTTAGTTGCGGCAGTTATATAACATTTTGGGGGGCAAGTGGTTATTGGGTACTCTCTACTTGGACCTACGCCCGAAGCCCTTGACTCTACTTCAAATACCAGGGAATTTAGCAAGTCCGGTTGTACACAAGTAAGTATGTTTTAAACTGTGCAAAGCAGCCATGAACCCCTTGCCCCCAAAACCTCAAAACCCCAAACCCTAGGCCCTAGCCCCAAACCCTGAGCTCTGAAACCCGAGACTCCCAAATGCCACTTGTCTTCAGTCCTTCAGCTGAAATGTGAGTGCTTTATGATGGGGAGCCGCAGCATCGGGCCTTGACCTTGGGTCCTCAACCGCACCGAACCTCAAGCCCCAAGCTGTACAACAAAAAGCCACGACTCTAAACCCGAAACCCTGAAATCAAAACCCTAAACCCTAAACTCTGGGAAAACACCCTGAACCCTAAACCCTAAACCCCGAACTTCCGAACCCTAAACTACCTTGAACCTGAAACTCCAAAAGCTAATCTGGGTTCTAGTAAAAAGATGTAGTTTAAGGCACCCTAATGAAGAAGCCATATTAATTACTATAGTTCCTTTTCATGGTAACTTCAATGAAACTCCTTAACAAGAGCCCAGTAAAGCTGCCGGGCTAGGAGATGGCTGAGTCCCTCGAGCAGTCGCCCCAAATTCAGCAGAGACAGAGAGAGGGTTTTCTGCTCCGTAGATTTTCGAACTTTCAGATTGTAATGCTTGGGCTTTCGGGTTTAGGGTCCAGGTTTTAGGGTTCATGGATTTTTTGGGCTCGGGGTTTGTTCTAGGCATTACTTTTCTTTCTGAGTGTCGTCTCAAAAGCATGGGCGGGGGTGGTGGAAAGCGCTATGTTAATTGTCGGTCTTGCCGGGGTTACAGCTTTATCGGTTTAGGGTTTAGGCATCCCCGCTTCCCTCTTGTGGAGGGACACGGCTTCTCCCTCGCATGGGGTTTCAGGGTTTATACATTGCTGCGGCAGGCTCTGTTGAGAATGCTAGGACAATTCATATGAATTTCCAGATCCTAGGGTTTCGGGCTCAAGTCAAGTCAGAACTGACGTTTCACGGAGTGCCTCCCTGTGTCTGTATGCTTTTCAAGGCTTGCCGATAGATTAAGTCTAAGACCCCCAAGCTGGCAATCAAAGACGGCCTACACCGTCAGCCATGGAAAGTCGCTGGCCGCAGTGGGCGTTGCGGCGCCAGGTGGAGTGTGTCAGGCTTTCAACGTCTGCGGTCTAGAGTCTAGGGTTAGGACTGAGCAAGCAGGCGCGGGGATATAGAGTTAAAACCCTGTACAGACTAGCAAAGTTTTTTTCGACCCATAGAACTCGTGGGTAAGGTCTTGGTCTTTGGACTGTCCAGCAGAACACCAGACCCAGGAAGGAAGCACGTTCTCCTGATGGCGGCGGCAGCATCTACAACAACAGCAACGACTTCTTCTACTTCTGCCCTGTGTTTCTATTGGTATCTCGCTCCTCCTGCTCCAACAGCAACTGCTACCGCAACAGCAGCAAAACTACACAGTGACTTCGACTAATGACTAGTACGTACTTCTACTCCGCTCCGCTACAACTCACTCGAGCACTAGCATGTGCTCGTGCTGAAAGTTTAGTTGCTCATGCCGCAGCGCTTTGCTTTATTAGTAGGCCTCCCCAGCAAAGCCGGGGACGGGTCTTTCCGTCCGGCTTTAGGCATGGGCAGCGTCGACCGGTGCCATAGCCTCAACTCCAGGGAGTCCCAGGAGTCGGAGGAGTTCGGAAGCATAGCAAAGAGTGACAGCCTCAAGTCAGAGGCTGCGGCCACAGGCGTTGGCATAGAGAAGGTTGAGAGCCTATGTTCTCTCGACAGCCTGCCGACTACTCTGGATCCCGAGTTGCTCCAAGGGGTCCATCTCAGTGCCTTGCCTGCAGCTCTAACAAGTTGCAGAGCCTCTGACCAAATCTTTGGCTAGTATCGTATCGTATTGTTTGGTAGGGCATATTATATCCGATGACGACCCCAAGCGCGGTCCCTCGCGACACTACTCCCAGAGACTCCAATATCCCTTAGTTAGTCAAGGAATATACTTCAAATTGTAGTAGGATCCCTTATATGATTTAAGGTATATATTCCCTAATTAAGGGGTATTAGAACCCCCTAAACCCTATAGATCCCTTAAAGGAACCCTAAGGTATATATACCTTAATTGTCGGATATCGGCGTCTCTCGACTCTGGTTAGCGGGGCCGTGTGTGCTGCGACCCTGAGACCCCGAGCTGTATCCCCCTAAACGCCAAAAGAAACTCTTACGGTACCCTACAGGGAACTCCAGAAAGTTGGAGTATGGATTAATGGTAGGATCCCCTATAATTTTAACCTTAAAGGGGCTAGGATAATGATATTCCAACTTTCTGGCTTCTACTGTAAAAGGAGCTCCCGACAAGCCCGAAACCCTAGACTCTACCCTAAACCCTAAACCCTAAACCCTAAACCCTGAAACCCTACACCAAACCTTAAACCCTACCCTGAACCCTAAACCCCAAACCCTGAACCCTACACCAAGCCTTAAACCCTACACTCTACCCTAAACCCCAAACCCTGAACCCTGAACCAAACCTTAAACCCTAAACCCCAAGAATCCGAACTCTGCGAGAGAACCAACTTGTAGAGTTGTTAATGTATTGCGTCGAACCTACTTCTGCAGACCTCGCCAGGCTAGTCCGGGAAAAAAAACCCAAGAATCCTCAAACCCTGACTCTACCCTAAACCCTGAACCCTACACCAAACCGTTATATATATAAACCCTAAACCCCAAGAATCCTCCACCTAAGGCGTCTGCCTCTCCGGATGGGGGAAGTTCTGGGCCGCCACGACACCGGCGCCGGTCGGGAAGAGGAACTCGGGTGGGGGGTTCAGGGTTAAGGGTTTAGGGTTCAGGGTTTAAGGGTCTCTCTGGAAGTTCGGGTTTACGGCTCAGGGATTCGGGTGCAAGATGTCGGTGCTTGGGGTTTGCACTAAGATACGGTTTCATACGGGCTTGGAAAGGTTTGTGTGTGTGTGTCTTGGGGGGGGGGGGGGGGGGGGGGGGTTATGGGTTTTCAAAACATGCTTTTGGCTGAGGGCTTTTAGGAAGTAGAGTCTTGGGCTTGTTTCGAATGCCTGGGAGAGAGAGAGAGAGAGAGTCTTCGGTTTAGCATCTTCCGGGTCCAGGCGGTTGGGACTTCGCGGGCTTTTCGAAGCGGGGGTTCATTACGGAATTTTCGAAAAGGTGGTTCATTACGGAATTTGTTCCAGCAGTGGCTTATAAAGGGTTATTTGTTCCCTTAACCTGTTAGCATAATTTCGAGCTGTCTCCCGGTCTACGACTACAAGGCTCTGACATCGGAGCCGCGCAAGAGCGTGCTCAGCCGACTAGACTCGAGACCCCTAGACACGATGACGGCATAATTATATTGCATCACCTGATTTCATATTATGTTCAGTCATATGGCATCTTAACAGATTTTCTACATGTGCCATATTCTAGTGTATCATATTCTGTTCCAATGTGTCTGTGTGGCTTTGCATGTTGTCATCATGTTATGCTATATCACATATCGTCTTCGAAGCCGTATTATGCTGTATCGTTTTAGGCTGTGTGCATATTACACTCTGTATCATATACTCCACAGTTTGGTATAGGATATGATGTGTCGTGACATGACGTGATACTTTAAGGTTTTCCGCCTATGTATATATGTGTATATCTATACATGTGTTTATGTATACATGTATAATATGTAGATATATGTACATGTATATATGTATATATGTTTTTATGTATATATGTATATATATATATATATAGATGTATATGTGTATGTAATATATATATATATATATATATGTATACATGAGCACGCAAGCTTTTTATTTTGGGAGCTGCAGGCTGAGCCAGCGAACAGCTGTTTACGACACCTTTCTCAGCCACGACTGGCGGACTCCACGCTGGTTGAAGTTTATCGCGACCCTTCTGCCTTCATCGGGATTTAAGGTTGCTTCGAACCTTTGAGGGTGTTTTGGTTCCTGCAATGTTTGTTCGAGTTTGGCGGAATCTTCAAAACTTGCGAAGGTTTCGGGAGGCCGTTGCGAGTGCTGGGGTGAAGCGACGTGTCCATCCTCGACATATCAGGGACTTCCTGGGCTTCATGTGCATCAGGGTTTGGGATTTAGGGTTTCAGGCGGTTGCGCAAGTCCTGATGTATTCTTTAGGAGCTGGACATGACGCTCACACCCAAAGCCCAGTAGCCTTGAACACTAGACCTTGGTTGGCTAGATTTACTAGAGGGAACTCCAGGAAGTTGGAATATGGATTAATGGTAGGATCCCCTATAATTTACCTTAAAGGGGTTACGATAATGATATTCCAACTTTCTTGCTTCTACTATAGTCAGAATGGTCCTGTCAGGAGTACCGTTAGGGTTCGTTAACACCCCACGACCCTGCCTCCCAACTCAAACACTGAATCCTGCACCCAGAGATGCCAATATCCCTTAATTCAGGAATATCCATTAAATCATCGTTGTTAGGGATCCTAATATGATTGAAGGGATATTCCTGGATTAAGGGATATTGGAGTCTCTGGGAAGCTGGGATCTCGCACGCTTTCTTTGGCAAGTCTTTCCGTGGGCTTCCCCGAACATCAGGGCATCCGTCCGTTAAGCCTGCACATGGAAAGCCTGCAAACCGCATGGGGGAGATTTTGGTGGGGAGGCTTTCATCGTTAGCATTTGGGTCGTGTGCTTGATTTCTGGTACAAGCTCTACTAGTAGAGTCTACTTCGTCATTTTATAGCCAAACTCTACAGGCCTGTGCTGCAAGACCATCTGAACGTGCCGATTGCCGAGACGCTGGCCCCCGCATCGACACCCCACCTCCATAGCCATAGCTCTACAGGAGCCTAGGGCTAGGGCTAGGGCCGGACGGAGCTGTCAGACTTCGCTCAAGGCTCCCAAAAACATAGCACCCCGTCGCAGCCCAAGCCTGAGCACTTTCAATCGGGGGCTTCTTCCTCCCTGAAGTCTGCCGTATTCGGAAAGTCTGATAACACTGATACTGCTTGGGCTGTCAATATTAAGCTCCAGCTTCCCTAATCGCGGCACCCCTCCACCCAAAAAGGCAACCCGAAACCCTACGCCTAAGCCCCTCTCGACAAAAGAAGGAACCCGGAACCCTGAACGCGGAGGCCTTGGTCGTGATCTTTAACTCCCGTGCGGCAGCCGTGGCCAGCGCCGTTGTCAGCTTGACAGTGGCTGGGCCGAGGGCCGTAATGTGTGAATCGGAATGATTAGTAATCGGATGTCGTTAACAATTATGGCCCATATGAAATGACAGTATAGTATACCGCCCAAACCTTGGCGCTGCCGAACCTGCTTCTGGTTCTACTAGTGGTCGTACTGCAGCTGCCTACGGGATGTCTCTACTAGTGCCGTGGGGCAGCGACGACCCCGACGACGACTATTCCTACTATGTAATCACTGCGGCTACAATGACCGCTGCCACGACGATGAGGCCGACTACCGCTTCCCACTCTGCCTCCACAACAATAACTACTACCACCACTACTACTACTACTACTACTACTACTACTACTACTACTACTACTACTACTGCTACTACTACTACTA